TAAGTTTCAGTTTAAATCCCTCCTTTCTTTAAATCAACATTTTGTGCTTAAAGGACATTGTGCGGTGGCCGTCAAATGATTTCAATAAAATATTTAAATTTGTAACCGAAGATTCTTTAGAAGCCAAAGTATGTACTTCTCCGCTCCTTATTATTGAGTTGGGTTTGGTCCTAAATATAAGATCCATTTCTCATATTTATCAATTTTCTCTAAACTACCCCTATGGATACTCCCTCAACCATAATCAAATAGAAGAGGGAGATGGGTATAAGAAAGATGATTATGGTTTTTTAGGAAAAATGTGTCACTTTTTTATAATTAATCAACTTACCTAACTTTTTTGATCTAATCAAATTAGTTAAATGGGTCTTATATTAAGGACCGGAGGAGTATTTTTAATTAGAGTGAGTAATTCAGGCTCGTGGTTCAATCAACAAAAATTAACGGGTTCAAATTATTTAGAAGTAGGCCTTTTCAACCTGCATCGCAATTTATGACGGGTTAGCTTGCCAACACATAGACTAAACTGTATTTTTTTTTAAAATTTTATAATTATTATAATTATATATTATAGTAGTATGTCATCTCATTTAAAAATTTTAAAAATGTCCATATATATAATTTAATATTTTAGTAAAATATTTCAAGAAAAACAATAATTTTATTATATGTTTTTATCCATTGTATAAGAAACAATATGAAAAAAAATTAACTTTTTTTAAAAAGTAAATAAATATGATAAGTTAGTCTAAGGTAGACTTGAGTTGGTTTTCAACCAACTTGCTTGCATATAGGCTTTTTGAACCCGCATTGTATCGATTGAACTGTGGCAGTTGACCTATATAGTACATACCAATAAGAATTGATCTAATTGGTAAGGAGTCGGTTCATAACCTATAAGATCGTGAGTTCAAATCTCGTTGCTGATATGAGGACTTTGTTGATAGGCAATTTGTAAGTACTTCTATAAGTGCTTTTGAGCCTGGAGGCATATCCTAGCTTTGGTAAGTCCTCAGGATTCAACTCACCTAACTTTTATATAAAAAAAAAAAAACTACATTAGTACATTACTACTTTTTTCTTTCTTTTTGCCAATCATTACGACCCTTTTGTTAATTCCTTAATTGACATAATTAATTGAGAAATGGTCACTTACCATGTGTACACGGTTGTCAGGCCCAAAAAAAAAAAAAGCATGTTTACACGGGGAAAACTGATGCCGCGCTGCCACCACTATTTTCAATTCCTTACTGTGGACATCATTAATTTTATTTAATAAAAGATGGTGACATCATTAAGTTCATTTAATTAAAAAAACAAGTAACTGAGCAAATTTAAATGGTGACCCTGTTTAGCCCATGAGTTAATGATTCTGGATAAAAGAAAAGGCCTGTTCATGTTCATATTTGGATTGCTTTTTGTGCAACTCAGATTGCCTAAGAAAATCTATATTCCTGACTTATTTATAGCATTTTATAATTAGCTGTAGTGCTTTTTCAAAACAACTCACCTCTAATTTTAAGAAAATTTACTACCACCTAGAGTCCGATTATTTATAATAAGTTAATCTAATTGAAGCATCTTTTTAGTAGTGTATATTTATTTACCTATTTGTACCGAATTGATTTAATATCAACATTTTAAGACCGCTACTTTAAATTCAATTTAGATTTTGTTGTTTTTATATATACAAAAAATAATATTATTATATATATATATAAACATAAATTACTAGTATTTTGCCTTGAGCTTCACCAACTTCATGTGTTCAATTTTCAAGGATCCAAATTTGCATTTCAATATACAAATGAGAAGATCCAAAGGATTGAAGCGCTTTATCAAATAGTAAACTCAGTTTCTTTTTCAACTTCTGAGCAAGCCAAGTCACCCTTCTGTTGTACGTAATATATATGCACAAATGTAAACTCCAAGGTAGATATATATGTTAGTGGAATTGTTTATTGCACAAAATAACTACGACTCATACTCTTTTATTTTTAGTTTGATCATAATTTCAAACCGAGTGAAATTATGCTAAATTCCTTACTTCATGTCTTAAAACTATGATACCGCAGCAGCAACGAACGTGCATTGAATTGATATATCAAACGCCTGAGCAAAAACTCGATTCATTCTTCAATTCTTGGATTTTATTAATTTTATCAACATTTTAAGACCGCTACTTTAAATTCAATTTAGATTTTGTTGTTTTATATATATACAAAAAATAATATATATATATATATATAAACATAAATTACTAGTATTTTGCCTTGAGCTTCACCAACTTCATGTGTTCAATTTTCAAGGATCCAAATTTGCATTTCAATATACAAATGAGAAGATCCAAAGGATTGAAGCGCTTTATCAAATAGTAAACTCAGTTTCTTTTTCAACTTCTGAGCAAGCCAAGTCACCCTTCTGTTGTACGTAATATATATGCACAAATGTAAACTCCAAGGTAGATATATATGTTAGTGGAATTGTTTATTGCACAAAATAACTACGACTCATACTCTTTATTTTTAGTTTGATCATAATTTCAAACCGAGTGAAATTATGCTAAATTCCTTACTTCATGTCTTAAAACTATGATACCGCAGCAACGAACGTGCATTGAATTTTGGATATATCAAACGCCTGAGCAAAAACTCGATTCATTCTTCAAATTCTTGGATTTTATTAATTTTGTTGTCCCTCTTGCTTCTCCAGTTGATTGCAAAGCACTGCATTTCTATTTTCAGAAGAACAAGCCCTTAAGTTGAAGTTATCATCCTCCATTCCTCCCGTTTGATACGTTTTAATATGAAGCAACTACTACTGGTTTAAGTAGTAGGCCTCACATGAACTAAGACAATGCAATATATAGTCTCCAACATCCTTAAAGTCAAAACTCAACCCTGCCCTGTTTGCATTCACTTGTATACTCTTGGCTGTAAAACAATGAGTTTCCACTTGAAAGCATAGCAGCAAATGTAACAACCTCCAGGGAACAACAAGCACACTTCCATTCTCAGACTTAACTCCATTTTTCCCTTGCCTAGCTTGGTTTATAGCTTCTTTTTATAAATATCCATAATGGTTCCTAATAAGCCCTGTGCATTAGGCTGCCCTTTAGTCTTCTCTAATGTGCAGTGCTCCAAAACACATGAGGACTCTAGCATGGTGTCCTAGTTTTCCACCCAATTTGATATTCCTTTCCCATGTCCCTTGTTCGATAATGCTGCAGACTTTTGGAGAAAGTCTGTTATTCTCGTCGATGGCCTTGTTGCAGCTTCTTGATCATAAGCTTTTTGGCATTGTGAATGCCTTTTCATTGTAATGAGCCTCCTTGTTCTCCTCTGACATGTGTGTGTGGGGTTTCTAAACTCATGATATCTTCTTCTGCAAACTTAAAACCTTTGAATCTATAATTCATCTTCTACACGTGCTTTGTGTAGTTAAAAACTCCTCCCTTCTCTTCAAGTAGTTGTCTTGAACCCTTTCTGAAGGATTTTATATGAATCAGCTCTGCAGCATTGATATTTGAGTCAGCTTTCATGTCCTGGCTACATCTCATTCTCTTATACTTCTCATTGAACACACAATCTTTCTTCACTAGGACATCCACTCTATCACTATCAGCAACTGGAGTTTCAGAATTGTTCCTGAGCTGTTCTTTATGATTGCATGGCTCTCTGGACTTAGAAGGCGGTATCAAGGAAGGTTATACCTATGTTTTCAGACTGATGTCTCTTCCCGGTTCCCATGTTCATGAAATGCATTAGGAGACATGAACTATGAGGAATGGCAAATTCACAAACATAAAGGAGACGCAGGACATAAGAGATTACTTTGCCTAATTAAAGCCCCCTTCCTGATTATATACGAAAGGGAATAAGGAAAAATTCCAAATTTTCGCAGTGCTGAATACCCTCTAGTTTTCTCCTCTATTACAAACTACCCAGCTTATATCAGCAAATGGATGATTAGAACCCAAAACAGAGAAATCAAAGTAGTTCTTAAAAGGCTGAAGCATTTTAGAATCTGGACAAAAAGCTAAAGCAATTGCACTTACAGCCCTTGCAGGCGTGCCATTAGAAACATGAAAATGTGTGAAGGTCAAGGGTAAGCATTGCTTTCTTCTTGCAGTCTCTCTTCTGTCTCATGGGACCTGTCACATGAAGTTTGATGTTTTCATTGCTCTTTATAGTGCTTGTGTATTTTTCCTCCTTCCTCAATCCCCCGACCCGGTTAATTTTTTTTTTAATAGACCTGTAAGATGACATGTTGGCATGTGATGATTTGTCTCTATTATTTCTAGCGTCATGATAAACAACACTGGAAGTTGTCGTTTTTCAGTGATTTACATGCTTTATGAGTTTTATTTTTCAATTTCTTAACCATATATTGTAATGCTTATGTTCCATTTCAGCAGAACATACAGCAGTGCCAGCTTCCTGTTTATGACCATCAATTTTAATTAAAGGACACTGAAATGGGGAACATCTATAAATATCGTCATCCATATATGACCATAATCTTTGAAGATGAAGAGATTCCTTTTTTTTTTTTTAAAAAAAAAACCATAGTTGTTGGCACTGCTATGCATTCAAGTTCATTAAATACAGATTATTTAATGATTTAAACAACCCCTCCTACAGACAAAAGATCCATATTTGATGCTCACTCCAATGATATGCCTTGTTCGAACTTACAGTTTTAGTTGAGATGGAGGAGACTTTGCCAGGGAATCCATCTACAGCACATGGATTCCTATGATTCCCAAACAAAAACTGATGAATGAGTTGGTGAGTTTGCTGTGCGGGGAGCACAAAAAATCATGTTAATATAATATTATTGCATGCTCACTTTGTGACATGAAGAAATAAAAATATTCTTCTTGTCTCCCTCTATTCTTTGGCTATATAAGAAGAAGATGCACACCGCTGAAGAAACTCACGAGTTTAGAAGAAATTGCATTTCTCATCTCCAAGCCTTCTGTTTTCTAAGAAAAGAAAATGGCAGCCATTGAATCAAACCCAAAGATCTCTTTGCATATGCGCTCTAGTAGTTTTCCCACAGGACCTCACCCGCTTGTATCACAATTTGAGGAGCACCTAAACAGATTGAAGTCTTCTGATTCAGCCTCTTCTTCATCTTCTTTAAGCCACAGACTCAGTGGCTTGCAGGATTTGCAGGACAGCACTAATGAGCTGCTTCAATTGTCCACCACCCAACAAGTCTTCGCCCAAGCTTGTAGCCAAAAGTGGGTTGATGAACTACTAGATGGGTCTTTAAGACTCTTGGATATCTGTAGTACTGCTAAAGATTGTCTTTTGCAATCCAAGGAGTCCGTATGTGAAGTTCAGTCAGCCATTAGAAGAAAAGGAGCTGAAGCTGCATTCACAGCTGGGGGTGGAAACTATTTGGCTTCAAGGAAGAATGTGAAGAAAGCGATTCGAAAGGCCTTAGGAAATATCAAAGGAATAAGAAATGACCTCATAGTTTCTTCTGCAAACAAAGAGAATGACATGTTTAGCATGTTGAAAGAAGCAGAAGCAGTCAATGGGAGCACATTAGAGTCTTTATTGTACTTCATCTCTGATCCAAAGGGACAATTAAAACAAAGCAGATGGTCTGCAATTTCCAAGTTGATGAAGCCAAAAAGAGTATCTTGTGATTCTCAAGAAATTGGCACAAATGAATTTGAGAAGGTAGATGCAGCTTTGAAGTCTCTCACCAGTCAAAAACATGCATCCGTAGACAATTTTCAAAGCGATTTAGAAAATCTGGAGATGTGCATTCAAGATCTTGAAATAGCAGTCGAATGCCTTTCAAGGAAACTTATCAGAACCAGAGTTTCCCTTCTCAACATCTTCAACAACTAGTTACACAAAACATTTAGGATAACCTTGGACACTCAAATTCAATTTTTCCCCATGAGTGTCTCATACTTGTACATGAATGTGATGAAAAATACTATTCTCTTACTGAATATATATTCTCTTGGCATCGCGTTATAGCTTTTCTTCTTTCCAACCTTGCAAATATTAGTTCTCCATTTTTGTTCCCTGTCAGTGAAAATCAGAATAACCGCTTGTTAATTTTCTTGGTCACCCTGTAAATATACTATGGATTTATTTAAACACAGAAACACATGGGATTCAATCATTCAATTCAAATCAAATGGAATCGAAGCATCCACATAAACTTTTATTGCCAACACATGGACAACCAATTGGTTCAAATATAATATGATACAATTGCTTTGAACATTGTGCAGTTTGTTGCGTTTGTTTATAAGTCAATGGGCAACTAACTTGTAGTTTATATGTAATAAGGCCAAAGATTATTTGGCAACACGTGGTGCAGATCATCATATGAAATTATATGGATTTTCAATCTGCTAGGGGCAATTTTATTTGTACGTTAAACAGAGAAAGACATGAAATTTTACTCTTGCTGTCTTGCATATACATAGCACACAGATAAGATAATAGCAAGTATGAAGGAAAAAAAATGGAATTCTGGGCTGTAGTGTTCCTTTGTTATGAGACAGTATTAATATTTCTGACATTATTGGGATCTGGATCAAGATTGGTAAGCTTTCTTAGAACCGCGTAACTAAAACCATACAAAAGTGTGCGTGTGTGTGTTTTTTTTTTTTTTTGGCCACTGATTCCGTTTTTTATCTCTTCTTCCTTTTTTTTTTTGCCCCCTCGAACAGGTTTAAATGTTAAAATGCACAACAGAAACAGAACAATTTTTACTTTGTGAATTACGTGAATATTGAAAATTTCACAAGGTATACAGGTCCCAAGGTTTCATCTCTAAATCAAATCTCCCTCGGTAATTTTTTTTAAATTTATTCTCTATTCTTTTTTCATTTATTTTCTTTGTGCCGTTGTTGATTTGGGGTAAGTAAAATAAGTCTATGGCATGTATTTAATTTTTTCCCACATCAAACCCATACTAGATTTGCTTAAAACCATTTTCCAGATTTTAACTTCATTTAAAAAGAAAATTTTTTGTTATAACTATTTAAATTGATTTTCAAGAATATTTTTTGAAAAATTAATTTTCTCTCCATTTTTTTTCCCAACAATATTTGGAGAGTTGGCTTCAGTGCTAAATGTAAAACTTATCTCTCATGTTTATCACCCCCAAACTGTCCTTATTAATATTCTCTCAACAAGCTGTTGGGTTTTTCTTTTACAACAATGGTTAAAATCAAAGATTATCCTAAATAATGGTGTTTTAAAAGAACTATGTTGTAGTTATTATGATCAATTCATTTAACTAATCTTCTTAATCTAATCAAATTAGTTAAATAGGTCCTACATTAAGGATGTGAGGAGTGTTTATCTTTCTATTTGCTATTACTGTGACAAATCCATTTATTTGTAGTTAAAATATAAAATATAATTGTCATTTATTGACATGGAGATTGTAAATTGCATTTTTACAGTGTTTATAGTCTTCACTACAGTGACCTCAGAGATTCATAATTCATAAAAACAAGTTCGGGAATCAATAAATTAATTTTCATCTACATCATATAATTTGAAAGAATCTTTTAAAATTTTTGTATTACATTGAGCTTGGGGCATGTGGTGTGTCAGTCTCATAGTAAATTCCTGTGTAGGACATGAAGTCAGTTTTCAAACAAATATCATCAAATTGACAAACTCAGTGACATAGGACAAAAGTAAATGTTCAGAAAGAGAGATGATCAATAACAATAATTCAAAGAACAGGAAACTACATAACAGAAAAAGTACAGTAAAAGTATTGAATTTATGCAAAAAGATAATAACTTTGGTGTTATTTCATGTACAAGTGCAAGTGAAAAGTTAATTACAAAGCTTTATGTGACAAATAGGCATAACTAGTGATTGACAATGTTAAGGAGGGCAACTCTAGTTTTGATAAACCTCCTAAAAAGGGTTTCAAGTCCTTCCACAAAGTCTTGAATCACTGGCTCCAAATTTTCCAACTGGTTCTGCAAATGATCAGTATTCTCTGAGTTGCTTATTGTGTGAAACACAAAGGCTTGCAATGCAGAATCTACTTTGGCAAATTCATTCTCATTTGCATCTCGTGTACAAGAACCCTTTTATTAAGCATTAGCTTGGAAACCAATGACCAATTGCTTGGCTTTGATAGTGTTGATGCAGAGATAAAACTCAATAATGACTCCAAAATCTGAAGAGTGACCATCTCCACATCTTTGAATAGGCTCACCAATGCTGGAGTTTGGTGACCCTTGTGGAAAGGAGAAAACTTGTACTTATTTGAAGCATTCTTCAAATTTCCCAAGGCCTTTGATATTGCCTTTTTGACTACCTTCCTAGAGGTCAAGTATTTTCTGACCTCCACTGTCACCTCCACTTCACCTCTTCTTTTTCTTCTCATGACTGATTGAACTTCCCTTGCACACTCCTTTGTATGCAATAATGCATCTTTGGCTGCAGTGCACGCGTCCAGGAGCCTGAGAGATCCATCCAAGAGCTTCTCCACCCAATTTTCTTGACTCTCTTGGACAAGAACTTCTCGGGTAAGGGAAAGTTGAACTATTTTTTCAACAGTTTCATGCAAATCCTGAAGGTCACTTAGTTTGTGGCTCAATAAGGAAGATGATGAAGAAGAAGAAGATGAAGTTGTAGCAGTAGAAGCCTCTAATCTGCTCAAATGTTCGTTGCATTGTAGAATGAGAGGGTGGGGTTTGGAGGGTAAGCTGTTTGATCGATTATGATTATCAGAGGCTGCCATTTCTTCACAAGAGAAGAGAGAAAGAAGAGAAAAACTTTGAGATTGAAGGCAGGATTGAATCCACGGATCTGCCTTCCTCTCTATGAAAGGAGTTCAATATATATTGTGGGTATGAGGAGACAAGAACGATCTGATCCTTGCACATATCAAAGGCCTAACTGATTTAGATTCAGATCCAAACTTGCTGTCACATTTGCTTAGGCAATTGTCTCTTGCAGAGGCACCCCAACTCGGACCCTTCAGTTCTCAAAAGTTCAGAGCCACACGTATCATAAATCTAATTTTATTTTATTCAGCACACGAGTGACATTGACAGCTCTCTGATCACTGCAGTATATGCATATGAAAGTTGTCTTTTCCTAACAGATAGTTCATCTGACATTAAATGGGACTCATATACTGCACGTGTGGGCATGTGCCCTGCATTAAATGTGAGATTTTCAGATAGACTCAATGTACACATCATAAAATAGAAGATGAGCATTAAACTCTTGAGTTTCTGCCGTTATACTAAAAGAACATTTTTTTCCCCCTCAAATGTAATAACTGTCTTATTTTTTTTGTGCAGTATAATGCGTCAGTAAGTTTTGGGCTTTGAAATCACGCGGTTTTCTGAAATATGGCATGTGGCAAGTATGGAATCCTTCTGAGTTGCCTTGTCTCCCCATCTTGACACAGGTCAGGGACTTTACCACTAAAAAACTTGAAGCTGACATTCTTCATCTACGAAGTTGCCTTCTCACAGAACTAATTAAGTCCAAGTCTTATGTGCAGGTATTGATTATATTAATGATTTATGAATGGTGATGTAGTTATGAAGTGCTCCAGTCTCCAATTCAGCATGTATCTATTAAATATTAACATGGAAGCATACTATCAGCTGTCCCACCCACTTCTGCAGCCATTTCTATTTTATTACCTGTGGTTGTCTCTGCAACATCTGTAAAGTAGTTTCTCCAGATGGATTTGGAGACATGTAGGTTTTGAGAGTAATGTATTAGAGAAACAAATACAAACTGAATATTTGATCAAAGCCAAGTTTTCTCTGCGGATATTGATTATATTGGTGATTTATGAATGGTAATATGGTTAATTCATATATTCAAATATTCATATGGAAGCATATTATCATCTGTCCCATCCTCTTTTGCAAGTGTTTTGTATTTTATTCCTTATGGTTGTCTCTGCTACATCTATAAAACTAATGACTTCAAATGGGTTTGGAGGCATGAAGGGTCTGAGTGTAATGTATTAGAGAAACAAACACAAACTGGTTTACACTTGAGGATAATATATTAGAGAAACAACACAGAACCAGTTTATATGCGAGAGTAATATCACTCTTGGACAATTAAGTTTGTCCCATTAAATGGGATCAACTGTATGGATTGTACATCATCATTGTACTTTATCAATAACCTGATTTTTAGATATATTGTTAATTACAAGAGTAATTGAGTAATTTAATGGAGTTTTTTTTTACAACATTTTTTGTACATTTTCATAGGACTCCAAACTATCTGAAGGAGAACTAATAAACGTTAGAGATTTGATTGATAAAGATTAAATTCTAGAGACTAAATGGATAATTGAAACACGTGAAGAACTATAAGTTTTCCATGAGTGTCTCATACTGAATGTATATTTTTCTTGGCATTACATTTTAGTTATTTAATGATTTGATCATCTGTCTTCGTCTCAACCCTGCACATTTTTCGTTTCTCCCCTCTGTTAATAGTTCTATAACTGTTTCCCAGTTTGAAATGCAAAGCAACGTTGGAAAATTCGAACTAGAAAGTAGGTTAATCTCTTGTTATTTTATTGACTAACCTGTAAAAATATCTGGGTTTACTTTGCATACACGGTTTCATTTCTGTCACAGCCAGAGAGAATAAACAATGAAGGATGAGGTCAAACGGAATTAAAACATTCATAAGAAATTTCAAGTCAAAAAGAGGAGACAGGAGAGAGATCACAGTATCTCAGATACAGAAGCCTTACCGGCATGCCATCTGTAACATAAACACGGCGTCCTCTAAGTATATTCTCTTTTGGTATTAGCTTCAAAATTAACAATAGTGGCACTAGTCCTTTTCCTCAATTTCACACGTTTTTTGTGATTTTTTTATGAATTAATGTATTAATATATTTTTATTCCTCCTTCATTATTAAATGGCTAGGTCGTGCCATTTTAAATTTTTATAGGGAGATTCCATGTTCAGAGAACAGCGAAGAATGCCAAATACTTGTTTATTTTCAAATCGTTTTATTGATTCATTGTTCCCAACATAATGAACATTGAATCGGAAAACCTGTAGAAACATCTCATCCGTATCTGCCTGACCCTTGATCGATATGTAGTCGCTTCTAGCCCTGCAAGTTCACAGAAACATCTCCCACAGACAAAGCATCCACGAATGATGCTCACTTCAATGGTTTGTCTCTTGTTGGAACATAGTTTGAGTTGTATCTGCAGAATGTTAAGCTGGAGGACACAGTACAAGGGAATCACATCCGTGGCACATGTATTCTTGTGATTCCCAAATCAAAAACTGATGAATTAGTTGGGAGGCTTGGTGTGTGGGCAGCATTCAGCAAACAATGCAATGGAAGATCAAAGAATCACATCTGGATCGTATCATTTTGCATGCTCATTTTGTGACATGTGAAAACAAAGATATTCTTCCTGTCCCTCTCTTTTGGTTGGCTATATAAGGTGAAGATGTTAAGCATGGAAACCCAAAGAGTTTACAAAAAAAGAAAATTGCATATATCATCTCCTAGCCTTTTGTTTCCAGAGAAGAAATGGCAGTCTTTGAGTTAAACAGAAAAACTCTCTTCACATCCGTTCTAACAGCCTGCCTTCTGCAACTCACCCTCTTGTATCACAATTTGAGGAGCATCTTGACAGATTGAAGTCTTCTGAATCTGCTTCTTCTTCTTCTCTCTAAGCCAGAAACTTAGTGGTTTGCAGGATTTGTATGACTGCGTTGATAATTTGCTCCAGTTGTCAATCAACCAACAAAGCATTGCAAGAGAAGGCAGTGAAAAATGGGTTGATGAACTACTTGACAGGTCTCTGAGAATCTTGGATATCTGTACTACTGCCAAAGATTGCTTACTACAATCAAAAGAAAGCATGCTTGAACTTCACCCAGTAATTCGCAGGAGGAAAGGCAAAGAAATCAGGGCTGTAAAATACTTGACTTCAAGGAAGAGCATGAAGAAGGCGATACAAAAGGCCCTGAGAAATTTCGAAGGAATGACAAATGAGTTTTCTGCAAACAGAGAAAGTGGCATTCTTAGCATCTTGAAAGAAGCAGAAGCAGTCACTGTGAGCACATTTGGTTCTTTGTTGTCCTTTATCTGTGATCCCAAGGGACAGTTAAATCAAACAAGATGGTCAGCAATCTCCAGGTTGATTCAACCAAAAAGAATAGCTTGTTCTGAAAAATCAGAATCAAACGAATTTGAGATGATTGACGCAGTTTTGAAATCTCTCACAAGTCACAAACTTGCAATTAGTGAGAATTTTCAGGTCTACATGGGAAATCTGGAGATTTGCATTGACGATCTAGAAGCAGGAGTTGAGAGTCTCTCGAGGAAACTAATCAAAACAAGAGTTTCCCTTCTCAACATCTTCAATAACTTGAATTAGGACAACTTAGGACACTCAAATTCAATTTTCCCCATGGGTGTCCCATGCTTGTACATTATTGTAATTATAAATGCTATTTTGTTACTGAATATATATCATCTTGGGATCATAACATTTTTATTTGATCATCTGTCTTCCTTCTATCCTGAAAAAAACAAAAAAACAAGTTTTCCACTTTTTGTTCTCTGTTTAAGAACATGAGTATAATTATTTTGACTTGAAAATTCGGAACAACTTTGAAAAATGAGAAATAGACGCTATCTCTTTATTTAATCAGTCTGCAAATATAATACAATTGCTTATCTGGTTTTATTTTACAGACACGGTTTTATTTCTGTCACAAACACAGTAGCAGGAAGATAATAAGTGGCAGCCATATTTTTTAGTAAAACCCACTCGTGCTTCTATCATTCATGCCAACTCCAATCAAAGCATCCAGACAAAATTTTGTTGCTTTCACATGTAAGAGTAATTATCTCATTTTTATAAATGAAAACAACGCGGTGGTTGTTTGAACATACATGGACAAACCAATAAGCAAGTCATTTTCTTTGGTCAACTTTCGACATCCTACGTTAAGGGACACAGAAGTATGATTATTGCAAGCGTGGGGTTCAATAAAAATAAGAGATTCTGAGTTGGATGTTCCTAAAGATATATTGTATCAACATTTCTGAGATTATGTGAAGATCTGAACCTACATTAGGTAGTCTTTGGTGAGCAACAGAAAGCAGTAAAATCCCAGGGAAATTTTTTTTTCTTAAAAAAAGAAAAAGAAAAAGAAAAAGAAAAAAGAATGGAAAGGAATACGAGGACTCTATAGTTTGTCAAATATGAATGTCCTCTCCCTCTAGGCTTATTTTTACTGCCAAAAATATTCTCTCAAGTTAGCAATCTAGCATTAATTCTGTGACCTGTCTCAAGGTATCTTCAAGTTGCCTCTTCATAGTCTTTGAAGATTCGAAGATAGTTTGCTGCATCTTGTTCTCTTAAATGTTGGTCTATTTCTTCCACTTCTCCTCGATCATGGATTTTTCGTTTGTCTAAATCTGAGCCATTACCATCTTCATCAGATGAAGTTGGCTTCTTAATTCACTCACTGTTTCATCATAAGTAATTTCAGTTTTTATCCTGGAAGTTGGAACCAGGAAAATTTGACATTGGTCTTGCAGTTACCATCAGCAGCAAGCATTTGAAATCAGCTAATATATTTTTGGAATAGAGCCATGAGATGGATGAAGAGCAGAATGGGTCCGACATTAACACGTCATCCTCTGATTGTTTGTCTCATTACCTTCAAAATAACAGAATTGGGACATGTTCAGTTTTCAAGTTGACATCCCTTTATGGTTTTTTATTGCTTTATCTCTATATTTTAATGGCTATGTCTCATCAGAAGAGCTTCCATTGAAGCAGATCACCTAACAGAGCCAGCTCCAGTTTGTTTTTTTTATTATTCATTCAACTCATCTTGGAGATTCATTGTTCCTTCGGTAATGGACAATGAATTGAGAAAACTTCATAAACAGAGCCATCCATACACCAAAGTTTGATTCCAGTTTCCTGTAAACTACAGCTGTATGCATCTTCTAGGCATACGAGTTCATAGAACAGAGATTATATTAAGACAGAAACAAATCGTCTCACAGACAAAAGATCAAATTTTGATGCCCACTCCAATTCAAAAACTAAGCAATGAGTTGGCAAATCTGGGGTATGGGGAGCATTCGGCAAACATTGTAAAGGCAACTGTAAGAATCATATCCAGAAGATATCATTGCATGCCCCCTACGTGACATTTTGGGGGGAAAAAAAAATTCTTTTCTTCTCCATCTTATCCTTGGATATATAAGGAGAAGATGCCTACCAATGAAACACGCAAGAGTTTCAGAACAAATTGTATATGCATCATCTTGAAGCCTCTGTTTTCTGAGAAGATAAAATGGCAGCCTCTGATTCAAGCTTAAAGAGTTCTCTGCATATACGATCTAACACTTTGCCTTCTGCACCTCACCCTCTTGTATCACAGTTTGAGGAGCATCTTAACCGATTGAAATCTTCTGAATCTGCTTCTTCATCTCAAAGCCTCAAACTCAGTGGCTTGCAGGATTTACATGACTGCATTGATAAGGTGCTTCAATTGCCAATCACCCAACAAGACTTTGCAAGAGAGTTCAGCAACAAAGGCGTTGATGATCTACTTGATGGATCTCTAAGGCTCTTGGATGTATGTAGCATTGCCAAAGATTTCCTTCTTCAATCAAAGGAAAGCTTGCAAGAGCTTCAGTCAATCATCCGCAGAAGGAGAGGTGCCAAAAATGGACTCGCCATTGAGGTTGGCGAATACTTGGCTTCTAGGAAGAAGATGAAGAATGCCATTTTTAAGGTCTTGGGAAGTTTCAAAGGAAGAAAAATGGAGCTCATAGTTTCTTCTTCAAACAAAGAAAATGACACACTTAGCATGCTAAAAGAAGCAGAAGCTGTCACCTTGAGCACATTAGAAACTTTGATGTCCTTCATCTCCGATACAAAGGGCCAATCAAAACAGTGGAGATGGTCAGCAATCTCCAAGTTGATGCAGCCAAAAAGAGTTGCATGTGACTCTCAAGAAATGGTCACCAATGAATTTAAGAAGGTAGATGCAGCTTTGAAGTCTCTTATGGGTCAAAAGCATGCGTTCACAGAAAATTTTCAAGGCGATTTGGAAAATTTGGAAACGTGCATTGAAGATCTAGAAATAGGAATTGAATGCCTTTCAAGGAAACTTATCAAAACCAGAGTTTCCATTCTCAACATCTTCAACAACTAGTTCCACAAAATATATAGTATAATCTTGGACACTCAAATTCAATTTTCCCTTATGAGTGTCTCATACTTGTACATGAATGTGATTAATAATACATTTCTTTTACTAAGTATATGTTATCTTGTCATCTCGTTATTGCTATTTGATAGTCTTTCTTCTTTCCAGCCTTGGAAATCTCATTTCTCCATTTTTTGTTCCTTGCTAATTGAAAGACAAAATGAATCATCTTGGGATTAATTTGACTTAGAGAGGAGAATGGTCTCTTAATTTTATTGGTCAACCTGCTTCTGAAAGTAATGAAAAGGAACAGTAGAGGAGTAATTTATATCCTATGAATGTGCAATTTAACACGTGCTGGTTAGTTTTCTTTCTAGTTAGGTGAAAGCCAATAAGTCAGTCCATACTCAGTATAGTAGTTATGATTTTGTGTCCACTCGTGCAGCAGATAAGCCCACTTATATGAAACCTCTACTTGCAGAAGATTAATTTATATAAGCATGACCTTGACCAGAAATGAAGCAAGAAATGACAAGGTCACTAATGATCTGGATTAAATGAAGATAAAAATATAATTTTCATAAGTGGGATTAAAGAAATAAAATCTGAGCTGTAGTGTTATTTACCAGAGTCACTGCATTAATATTTCTGAGATAATGTTGGATCTGAATCTAAATCAGCAAGCGCTCACTGATATGAGTTTCGATTAGATTCCTTTTGTTTATCTCCCAAACTCTAATATATATTGAATCATAGAGTCAATTGTGCATATTCAACCTCAAGGCTTCTCCTCTTCTCTTGAAGAAAATGGCAGCTTCTTTCTTCAACCCAAACTCCTATTGTAACCATGTTCGCTCAACCAGCTTGCCCTCTAAACCACACCCTCTAATTCTAAAGTGCAATGATTACTTAGCCACATTAGAGGCTTTAGATGCAGCTTCCTCTTCATCATCATCCTCATCATTCAGCCACAAACTAAGTGAGCTTCAGGATTTGCATGATGCTGTTGAAAAACTGGTTCAACTTTCTGATACTTGCAAAGTTCTTGACCATGAGTGCCGAGATGAGCTATTGGATGGATCTCTTCGGCTGCTAGATGCATGCACAGCTGCAAAGGATGCGCTTTTGCACACAAAGGAAAGTGCAAGGGAAGTTCAATTAATTATGAGGAGAAAAAGAGGAGGTGAAATGGAGGTCAGAAAATACTTGACCTCTAGGAAGGTAGTGAAAAAGGCTATCGCCAAAGCTTTGGGAAATCTGAAGAGTGCTTCAAATAAATGCAAGTTCTCTTCTACACACAAGGGTCATCAGAGTGGTGAATTGGTGAGCCTATTTAAAGATGTGGAAGTAGTCACTCTTCATATTTTGGAGTCACTGTTATGTTTTATCTGTGGACCAACACAATCAAAGTCAGGCAATTGGTCTTTGGTTTCCAAGTTAATGCACAATAAAAGGGTTTCATGCACACAAGAAGCGGACGAGAATGAGTTTGCCATAGTAGATGCAACATTGCAGTCTTTTGCATTTCACAGTTCAGGCAAGTCAGAGGATATTGATCATTTGCTGAACCAGTTGGAAATTCTGGAGACAATGATTCAAGACTTTGTGGAAGGTCTAGAAACTCTTTTTAGGAGATTTATCAAAACTAGAGTTGCCCTCTTAAATATTCTCAGTCATTAGTTTTGCAATTTGATGGCTTCAATTTACTGTAAATTTCTAGATTTGTACAGAATTTAGCTTCTCAGAGACATTTGTACATGGAAAGCAATAATCCAGTTGTCTTTTGATATAAACTGAAATACTCTATCAGTCTATCTCAATCTTTCGCTATTCTGGTTTTTCTTTTCTTGACATTCTTTCTTAAGATACGTACTAAGTTTTTCTGAAGCCTCTCAATGTTGCAATATTCAGCCTGCTGAAGCTGAACACATCGACACAATAATTGAAAATATCTGTGTCGTAACTATTTTTATAATTTGTGTCTTCTTGCAAAGGTGCTATAAATTCTGATATGTCGAGATGTTTACCAGCAATTTGAAAGTCCTGAATCAATAGTAAAGATAGAAATTTCAACTGAGTGAGAAGCACGAGAGGAAGAAAAATGTCATTTACAACACTATATGAGCACGTTACTTTGTTTGTTTTCTGGGACATAACGTTATTTTGTTTTGGGATAAAGTGCTTAGGTACCCTGAAAGTATCCACGAAGGAGCACCTAACACCTGGAAGTGTTTTTTGCTCTTATATGCCCTGCAAGTTTATTTTCACAACAAATATATTTTGATCGTTATCTGTCGTTAAGTTTGACTGTCTTTAATGGTCACATTTAGTAGTGAATAATGGTGTGGGGTAGAAATAATATGAAATAAAACTTCTAGGGCATTTAAGAGTAAAAAAAAGCCTTTCAGGTGTTGGGTGCTCCTTCGTGGATACTTTCGGGGTATTTGAACACTTTGTCTTTTTTGTTTTTTGTGAATCACTTTGAGTACAAATTTTGAAGGTTATTTTGCTAATGTGTAGAGGTTGTGTAAGATTGACATTATTCAAAGATAAGATTTTCAATTTTAAACAGTGTTAGAACAAAAGCCGACAAAAATAAAAATTGAATTGAATTCATTTCACACGCTTTCAGCGAAGAAAGAGATCTGTTCTTCTTGATCAAGAAACAGCACAGCTCAACTTGCTTGCATAAAACGGTGAACATCAAGCCTCTAGAAAGAACAATTTTTTTTTTTTTTAAAAAAAAAGGCGCACACACACACACACACGGTATTACAAACCCAAAAAATTATTTCGAACTTTGGCCATGCAGAGCTTGTTCCCTCAAAATACATAAATAGATAAAAGAACCCAATCCGTTGCCCACACGGGGCATATTAGCCACACAATCATAGGCAAGTTTTCTTAGTTGAAATAATGGCAACAACATGGCCAATAAAAAAATTGCAAGCAAGTAATTGTTGCAATTAAGAAAATGCAAAACATGTGTTGGTTAATAACAAACAAATAATTTTCCTACCGTTTGCTCAGATCTAAATCTCTACCTTTTAGGATTAGTAAGATGAGATTCCTTGTGCCTCCTATATCCATCATACACCCACCCACATGTTCATATACTCAAATCCACATTTAGCCTTAGCTTCTTTCTCTTTTCCTGAAGCTAAAAATGGCATCCTCTCCTTTGAACTCAAAATCCCATTTCCATGCTCGCTCAAATAGCCTGCCATCTAGGTCACAACCTCTGGTTATTCAGTGCCCAGAACACTTGGACAGATTAACCTAATTCACACCAGAAATGTGGCTTGTCCACAAGAAGCAGAAGAAAATGAATTTGCACCAGTGGTTGCTGCTTTCCAGAACTTTGTGCTCAGTTTGACAAGCAAGAGGGACCGTGGTAATAATTTGCAAGACCAGTTGGAAAATTTGGAGACTCGAATCCAAGATATTGAAGAAGGGCTTAAGTTTCTATTCAGGAGTCTGATTAAAACGAGAGTTGCCCTTCTCAACATCCTCAATCACTGGTTGTATTAATTGGACATCAAAATTTTGTACTGTCATATATCTGAGTTTGGTATATACGTAAATGTGTACATGAAAGTAGCTGTCTAATGATAATAAATGTCCACAAATTTTGGCTGATATATCACAAAACTGCCTTCTCTTCTCTCCAGCAAGTACTCCGATTACAGTTATGATTATGGTATATGTAAAGATAAGATTCATATCTCCCATACCCACAATACATATTGAACTAACTCCATCGAAGGAAAATGGATCGTAAGATTCAATAGTACCTTTATAATAGCATCTTCAGAGAGCGGCAGCCTATCCTTGAAAAGGTCCCATTACCACGCTCACTCAAACAGCTTCTACTTTAAACCACGCCTTTATTCTCTGTTGTAATGAATTTTTGTATGCATTAGAGACCTCAGCTTCTACTTTCTATAATTCAATGGCTCCTTGCCTAGCATACTTACTATGCTTAAAAAGAAAAAAGAAAAAAAGAAAAAAAAAAAACGAACCTATTAGCTGGACTTTACTTCCACTGCAAAATTTCATTCTTCTCTAATAAAACATTCTATGTATCCATACCAAAAATTTCTTGTTGCTGGGGACGAGAAGTTAATCTATTCCTTAATCCCTGACCCTAATTTATGAGCAATATTTCGCATTAAGCAGTCTTTGCCATATTTCAGAGACAGAAATTCAAGCTCTAATAACTCGATGAATGCTCGGATCCACTTCCACTTCATGTCTTTGATAAATATCAATATGTGAACTGAATATATATATATATATATATATATATATATATATTACAACTCTGCTAGTTACTTATGGATGAGATCCTAAATAAATTTCCCACCCCTTGACTTTGCAATGTTTCATAACTCCATATATGCTTCAACTAAGCACATATTAATCTTTTGAACCATGTTTTACCCGCCTGAGTCCTGACTCATCTAAACTTTTATTATTTATGGAAAGAAAGTGTTGCTTTTCTCATACAAGACAAACACATGGAAGAGGCTGCTACTTGCAAAGTTTCCTCACTCATGTTGTCTCCTAGACCAGTTCGGGCAATTAATTTTACGCGTCAATGAAGAAGATACTACCCCAGTTAATGAAAGAAAAACCTGCAGCCGAAGAGATTAGACAGAGGCTACCATTCTTTTATATAAAAATCTGTTTCATGAGCTAAAACTGAGGTAGGACATTGCATAAACATTGCCTTTAAGTATTCAAATGCTAACCACTGTCAACATCTTAATATGAAGTTTCGTTCTACCCTTAACATAACTTGTTCTGGGCAGGCTAATTCATGGACTGGAAGCTACTGAAAATTATAACAGCTAATTCTCCTGCAGACAGAAGCCCCCATCACGATGTTGTGAGTTTTTCGATATCAGTGAATTGTGTTGAGATGGGGATACAAAACAATTCAGAAAGATTACACCTTTGGCACATGCCATATTTCAGGAACCCCATGTGATTCCAAAATCCGAATCTTGCGGGGATAACATGGAGGCTTGATGTTCGGGAAGCACTGCGCAGGCGATAACGCTGTCGTTTTAAAGATTTAAATCTACAAGCGTGTGGGTAATATGCAGCTCTATTATTTAGGACAGATTTGCTGAAACCTGACCTCTGGCTGTCCACACGTTTCAATGGAATAGTTATTGTATAGAAAATCAGTTCTTCTCTAACTGAATTTCTCTGCCTTTTAGTCCTTCATTATTTTCCATCTTCATTCTTCTTGGACTTGGAAAATCAAGATGACATAATTTCTTACCCAGTTCTTTTTAAATTGGTCTCCTTCAAGGTTTTACAAGCGTGCACTAATAAATTGCCTTGATTGTCAATCACCAAATGCACGAGACTGCAACCAAAGGAAATATCTAGACACGCCAAAGGACCAACATGGTATAGTAAACTTGTTTTTCGATTATAAGGACATACCAATCAGTTAGGGGGAAAAATTGGAGAGTAAATAGTTCATTTTTTCAGTGTGGACAACATTAAATGGACCCGTAAGCATGTTAAGGTTTGCTACTAATGTCCATCTTCCAATTGGTTGGTGTATTTATGCTACCTTAAATCTAATCATTTGCTCATTACATGTGTCCACACGAGTGGAAAACGGCGTACTATCTGTTTGGAAAGGATCAAAAGACAACTTTTGATATGCATATAACAACACAACGAAGAGTCTTAGTTGGGGTGTTGCAACGCAGGAGACAAGAGCATTGACATATCTGAGCTAAGTTTGGAGCATTGAAATATCTGAGCTAAGTTTGGATCTGAATCTCAATCGGTTAGGACTCATTGATATGTGCTGAGATTCTTCTTGTCTCCTGCACCCAAAATATAAATCGCGCCAACTCAAAGCAAGGAAGGTAGATCTGTGCATTCTATCATACCTTCAATGTCGAGATCTTTCTCTTTTTTTCCTCTCCTCTTTCAAAAAAATGGCAGCCTCTGATAACCATCATCGATCAAACAGCTTACTGTGGAAAGCCAGGGCATTATGGGGCACAGTGTAGGAAAAAGGCTACTCAAAAGGGTGATAATCGTCCTAAACCAAATGTGAATTTGGTTGAAGGAGATGATAGTAGTGATGATGAAGTCATAGCTACAGTAGTTTCTCAAGCCCTCATTGTATCTGATTTGAAGAAATGAGTGATGAATTCAGGAGCCATTAAGCACATTTGTGCAAATAGAGAGATGTTTACCTCCTTTGAAGAAGGGGAACACCACATCTACCTTGCCAACTCTCGAACTGCTAAGGTTTAGGAAAAAGGAAAAGTGGTACTAAAACTCACATCAGGAAAGACCCTAGCACTGAATGACGTTCTGTATGTCCCTAATGTTAGGGCAAACTGGCGCTGCTTGGGAAAGCTGGGGTTAGAGTGTCCTTTGAGTCTGACAAGATTGTCATGACTAAGAATAATGTTCTCATTGGAAAGGGATATTATAATCAAGGTCTGTTTGTTTTTAAGTGTTGCTGAAATTAATGAAAATGTATCTTTTTCTGCTTACTTGATTGATTCTTTTGACATATGGCATGCTAGATTAGGACATGCTCATAAATCATATATAAAGAGATTGCAAAATCTTGGGTTAATTCATGGAATTAAAAGTAATGATTTTAACAAATACAAGTTTGTGCAGAAACTAAATTAACTAAGAAGACACATTTTTCTACTCAGAGAAGAACTAAATTGTTATCTTTAATTCATCCTGACTTAGGGGATTTAAAACAAGTT